AAGCCCAGGCTTAATCCAAAACTGTCAACCAAACCAAACCAAACACTCAAAATCAAAACAAAACAAAAAACCCCCAAAAACCAAAACCAGAACCCAGACCGAGAACAAGAATAAAACAAAATGAACAGAGAAAAATCATTCTGAGATTATTTAGTGTAGGCTTAAATGGCTTTTCTTGTTTTAGTAATCTTGCAGGGGATTGTTATATGTTAGTGTACTTTAGTTTGAGTGCTGGGTTCAGAATGAAAGTTCCATACATATATATTTATTAAATAAATATTTATCTAGTCTACAAGTTCATAATGCCAGAAGACAGAGGTCATTTAAGCAAGATTGTCACGAAATAAGGTAGCATACACAGACCAAAAACAAAATGTAAACCACACAGTTGGAGTCTCAGAAAAGTAAAAACTACTGTCATGGGGATAACAAAAAAAATAGATTACTGAAGATCTCCTGACCCCAAGAAGTCGTAGAGTTTGGACAGGCTAGGAATAGAAAGTGCGGAATCAGTGTTCGGAAAGTTTCCAATAAATGCTTTTTAAAAGTTGGCATGTAAAGAAATAGGCTTTGGTATCACAGTTAATCTGTACAGAGAATAGCTTATTTATGATTCTTTTATAGTGCTAAATAAAATGAGATTTTGATTTAGGTGTGATTCTTAATGAAAGCTCTGAAATCAGTGCTTCAGGAAGACACTGTCATGCCTGACATGAAGACGTCTCAGATTCTTTTCATTGGGCCATTTAATGCCTTAAAATAACAAATCATTAAGTAATTAAAGTTTGAAATACTGTAACTCATTCCATTTTCTTGATAGTCTTTGCCTCTGTTTTTCTTCTTTTTCTTTTTCCTTTTCTTTTTTGCTAGTTTTCTTTAATTATTTTTCAATAGTAGAGTCATCTATACAGTTGGATGTGTCTGCATGTACTTGGGAACCATCCCAATTATTTTGATTGGCACATTTATCTCTCCTAAGAAAAATAAGCCTATATAACTTTTCTAACTAGCAAATTAAAAAGAAACAAACTGTGATTATAGATTTAGTAAGAATAGTTGTCTAATGTCCTATACCATGGCTATAAAACAACATAGGATTTTATATAATAAACACCAAATAAACAAATTGGAAATTAGTTTGCCAGAGTTGTATCTTAGTAGACTGTATTACATGATTCTCTTGGACCAGGACTCCTGTACTAAGCGAGATATTTAAATTGTTGAAATATATACTATTGATAGAAGGTGCTATTTTTCTTCAGCAATGGGATGTTTAAAAACTGCATTGATAGCAAAGGAAAGAGGTTGCAGGGCAGACTGTAAAACTGGATATTTCCTCTTATGTCTGATCATTTAAATAGTTTTTAGCATATTTCTACTTACACTGGGTGTGAACTTAATGAGTAACAAAACCTGTTTTCTGAATACCAACGAATAGCTAAGGTCTAGTGAGGAGAGAAACTTCAAGGGCTAATTGGACAGAAAGAATTTAACATGAGAAAGATTAGGGGCCAGTGAGATAGCTCAGCAGACTAGGTGCCTGTTTAGGCAAACCCAGGGTCTGGGGTGTGTTCCCTGGCACCACATGCTGTGCTGGTCCCACCTCAAGGCACACTGAGCCTGCAACCAAGGCCGGGCGTGGTGACAGAAGCCAGTAATCCCAGCACTGGGGAGCCTGAAAATAGGAGGATGACAGCTAGTCTGAGCTGTGTAGAGAGACCCTGAGGAAAAAAAAAAAAAAAAGAAAAGAAAAGATTAGGAGTTCAGAATAAAATAATTACTAATTAGGTTACTGAAAGGTAATAAAGATCATTAAATTATGATTATAGTATCTACAGTAAGTGGTTATCACTAACAGACTGAGTGCAGAGGAGCAGCCCAGGGAGCTGGAAGCCAGAGGTGCTGTGGCTTGGGGTCCTGGTGATGGAGTTGTTCCTACTAGCACTGAAGATGGCAAAGTAGACCACATGAAACTGGAGGAAGGCCTTTCAGATCCTGCAGTGACAAAATGCTGCTAAGCAGGAATGGTCTCCCCAACCCTGAGCAAACAGGAAACAGATGTAAGTAGAAAGAAGAAGATATAAAGCCCCTGGAAAGAGTGAATTTCATCTTAGTAACATCATTGAATATAAAACTGATCCAGCTAATAAAGCAAACATGTGACTTACAGAATTTCAGCTCCAATATCGCAATAGTAAGTACGAAGTGGTGTTTGGAATTGCGGCAACAGCTTAAAAATAAAAGCAATCTATTATTTTAAAAAATCAATTTCTGCACTATAGTGTTATACTCCTCCTTTTGAAATCGTGCTGCTCAAGGTTTATCTGGACTTTATGCTAATTTTTAATTCTAAGAACACTGAAAACATACATTTCCTTTGTTCAGTGATAAAATAGATTCCTTTGAAGTTCTCTTCAAAGAATTTGCTTCCACACAAATATATTTGAACTTGAATTTTATCAATTAAAATTTTGTGTTTAATTAACAGATTAGGTTACCTTTGAGAGATAGATTTTAATTTTATTCCTATTTAAATTTTTCCCACTTTCTCTTGAGAGAAGGCTAATTGAAAAATCTTAAAGGTACTTCAAAGACATCTTAGCTTGTAATTTATTAATATTATTGAAATATAAAGGTTCTATATGAAATGTAGAATTGGGAAGGGAAGATACACAAGGAAACAGAGAGGAGAAAGAAATATTTTTAAAAATGTATTTATTTGATATGGGGTCTTGTTACACAGCTCGAACTCATAGTGATCCTCTTGTCTCAGCCT